TATTCACGATAGAATATGTCTGTTTACAAAAGACTGCTGGTGTTGCTTCCGCACTTGTTACATAATGTCCCGCATCCACAGCTCGTACCGAAACGCCAGAATTTTGTTAATTCGGATTTTTATACCGGTAAAACCTTTTGAGGGTTTTGGCGACGAAAAAGCATATATGTATTAAATCAAAATATTTTATCCAATTCACTTCTGCTTGGGTATTAATCAGTTTAAGTCTATGGCAAAGCCCTGGAGGGGCCTAAGTCCAGCAATGGATGGACAAAAACTGATGATGATGTTTAATCAAGACTTTGAACATGTTTACCACTGTATCGCTGGAATCTGTCAAACGAGTGAAAAAATTTACCTTTTACTTCATTCGCATGTCATGAAAAGAAAGTCTGATATCCCCTGGCTCTCTCTATCTATTAAAGTTACATGATGGGGCTATCTAGTTCTCGATTCCCTACTGTTCGTTCACTGAAGTGCGTTGAAGCGTTGGTCTCTGCGTTGATGCCATCGACAAGAGCCTATTTTAGAAAACAATATTTACAGTTGCGGAAAGCAGTGCCGTCCATTTTTTTTAAATTCAAGCCAAGTAGAACTTGCTTTGCTCATCCTTCCATTTGAAAAATGGAAGTTAAATGAACTAGTCAGGAACCATATGGCATAGTGTCGGTAAACTTTGTAAATTACCACTTTCTGGTGACGATAACTACCACCAAATCCACTACGCCAGACTTAGACAAAAGACAATCATTTTCGTTCTCTCGTGAAGGGTGGAAATGAGTGTAACAGTGATTATCACTCCTAACGCGCCGTACTCACAATCAGGTAACTTTATTACTTTCGATTTACGAAATGTATTATTTATGACATATAGATAATACATGTACAGTATATGTAATATAACCGTATCCCCTAATTTTTACGTCGACATTGTTACAGCGGCTCATTGTTCAGGGTCAGCTGAACTTCAAAAAACTATTTGGTCACACTCTGATCCCAGCATTTATTTGGAACGTTACGTCTACCCAACGGATACAGACATTATGTTTGCAAACAGCCCCTACAAAACTCTTGGTTCTGAAAAACAATTTTTATGACAGTCAGACACCGGAACTAGATTGATACCCAGGTGGACCAGCAAGCCCGGATCAAAAGAGATCCCCTAATTTTCATGGACATAAACAGCGTCTAATCTTTATGGAGGACCGGTTTGCTCACAGTCGGTAGAATATTAGTCTCACAACCGAAAGATTCTAGGTTCCAGCCCGGTAGGGTCAATCGTGTGTCTTTCTTCTGAAGTTGATAAATGAGTATCGCTCTATGTGAAGGAAATACAGGAGACCACACGCACTGTTTGCAACATTCCATTAGAATGTGCCGTTAAAAAATATGCACTTCTGGCTTATGGCACAAAACGGAGATCAGCTTTATGAACTGAAGAGTGTAACTAATGTTCCCATCTTGTGAAAGTGAAACGGAGACCGACATCCCAGCGGTTATGAACTTTACTGCGATGTTGATCAGAATTGTCAGTCCTGATACTGGCGCAGTTCTGAGGCTATCGCTCATGATACAAAAAAATGAATTAAATTAGTTTCAACAAACAAACGATGTTATCCAGCAGCAGACCACTACGATGGCGAATATAGAATATACACAAACAATCTTCTCATTCGGAGGAGCGACGCAATAGGTCGGTAGTTCCCTTTGCATCTTAGAGGTTCAGGGTTCCTACTACCAGTCAGGAGTAATTATTTATTAAGAAACTGCTAGTACCCCTTAGCAAAAAATCCACTACCATGCATTTTGGTGCAACCAAGCTAGAAACCAGTGACAAACCGCTGATTTGTGAACGAGAGACAAAATGGCGTTCTGATGTAGTCATCCCACTAGTGCGAGACAAACAGCCGTGATGTCTGATGCGTGAATTTTATGACTGCACGTCAGGACCATAAACTGTATAAATCGAGATGCTGAAATCCATATGCATAAAAGCAGTCCTTTTTAAATAAGCGGCACCACATAAACGATTTTTGTGTTTCAGTTTTGCATAGAAAATATTCCTAAAATTCTACTCTTCCCTCTAGGCATTTGGCAACCATTTAACTTTTGTCTTGTCTTCCTTAGGCTGAAGAATGAAACACTCATTAACTGTTAAATTCCAGCAGTAAAATGTTCGTTCACTCACATTCATTAATCAACATCAGCAAATAGCTAATCGAGGAAAAGAGGCATTGATAAATCGGCAGTGAGACTGCACACAACAATTCCTGGAAATTGCAACTACCTGATCCTCTGCAGGCAGTCAATTGCTTCAGCGTAGTATTTGCTTCGGGCAGTTGCGCATGCCTAAACAATAAAAAGTGAATACATGAAATATAAAAACATACATAGATGAGGACAAAGCTAACACATCAATATGATTTTCTGAAAAAACTCGCATACACTTGATATGCAATATTTAGTTTTGAACAGTAAACCGAATGAACCACACGGTCTGTATACTAGCATGTCTATCGCATGGTGGTTCCCAATTTCAGTCAGGATATACAGCATAAAAACATCTTAGAAGCACAATTGCTCGAAGACATAAGAAAATCTAACCTCTGCTAAATGAGGTTGTTTTTAGCAGATCAGATCACGAGAGATTTCGTGACTATCAAAACGTGTTTCTCTTCCACTCGTTCGCACAAGAGTAACAACACCTCATCCATCTCTCACACTACTGAAGGCATTTCAAGAAGAATTATGCTCATACACATTGGTACGTATACGCAAAGGTTATTCATTATGTCAAAAGAGTGTTCACTAGTATCACAAGATATACACCATTAAAAATATTAGTCAACCGCCCACCATAGGATAATTCCTTAACGATCCTACAGCCAACTCAAAATAACTCGTTCTCAAAATTTATAAGCTTCTTTATGGCATAGTCTGTCTAAAATCCAAAATCGGCGTCCTCACCAAAGAGTGGAGAACAACCAATACAGATCGGCTAAGAAGGCAATGATAGCCAGAATCGATAAAGCTCTGCACGCACTTCGAGGCAAGAGAAAAAAGTTTCATTTCCATCTACCACGTTGTTCTTATTAAATCAGGAAAAAGCACGGCGAAGACTGCTTCAGCTCACGACTGTTGGCCAGATTCACAAAAAAAGCTCGCCGATGACTGAAGTCTAATGCAGGAGAATCGGTAAAAAATTCTTATACGCGCATATATCTGGGTTCATTATGCCATAATGTTTGTGAAAGACAAATGGAAAAAATTAAATGTTCACTTATGTTTAACTACAACGACGGAATGTCACCATCAATCATACGAATCAACTTGATCTGCATTAAAATAATACCTGCATAACCCACTGCAAAATCTGAACGTGAACCTAACATGGGAGTAAAATAAACAAATGCAAAACTTGTACGACTCGTTCATTTGTTGTGCAAGCTGAAAAATATGAAGTGGATATTGCGCAAAAAACACTCCAAAAATGACATAATGTTTTGTAGCTTATCTTCGTATACGAGAACAGCATGGAAACAACACAAAAAATATTAAAAAGAAAGCAAAAAACTTACCAAAGGCTTGTCCAAAGGAGAAGTAGCTTCTAATTCAATTGGCCAAAAATTTCTACAAATTGTAAAGCAATTAGTGCATGCACGGGCGTTGAAAAATTATATAAGCTGCCACTGTTGCGTTAAGCTAAGGTTGCACCACACATTTTCTACAGCCTCAATCACGCTTGTACTGACTGAACGTGATCACTGAAGAATACTAATTTTCAGAGTACACGAAAATGTGTGATTAAACAATAAGTATATATAATTAAAACAAAATAAGAAAATAATGAACGAATTTCTGATACAACGCATATGTAGCCTTCTAGAGCGGTCTTCTGAAATTAATTCGTAATCAATACAGGAATGAATTGAAGCTGATCCGCGGTTAAGGCAAAGTCGGAAATATCTTAATTTCACCAAATTATTGCCAAGCCTACCCCTATATTTAAGCCTCTGAAGCGTTTTCTGCAGATTTAGGTTTATACTGAGGCTTAGGGACAGGCTGGGGTGAAAATGAAAATGGGTAAAATCCACAGATTACCGATTTGAACTGAACAGAGAATCTGTTTCAGCCAATATCAGTATGGACGAAACACC